ATCTAGGTACAGGCAGTACTCCCACAGTAACCCTATGAGATAAGCATTATTAGTCATATTTTACAGATGAGGAAACTGAGTGTCATGGAGACAGAATAGCTTATGCAAGGACACACAGTGCTTTAGTTCTCTATTGCTGTGTAACAAACCTCCCTAAACCTTATTGGCTTAGAACAAAACTATTCTTTCATATTTTCTATGATTCAGAAATTTGGAAATAGCTCAGCTGGGCAGTTCTAGTTTGGAGTCTTTGTGGCAGTTGAAGGAGTTGGAACAGCACAGGACTAGGGAAGTAGGGGGCTAGCTGGGAATCTCTTCATATTGTCTCAAGGCTTCTTCTGTGTAGGCTTTTATCTGGGCTTCCTCATAGCATGGTAGCCTCAAGGCAATTAGACTATTTGCATAGAAGCTCAAGGTACCAGCTTGAATATTTCAGCAAACAAAGAGAAAGTTAAATCACCTTTTCTGGCCTAGCCTCAGAAGTCCCACAATGTCACTTCTGCCACATTCTTTTGGTTACAAGTGTCATGTGCCCACCTAGATTCAAATGAAGGGAATGTAGGCCACACCTCTCATGATGGGAGGAGTGTCAAGGTCATATCTTAGAATAACATGTGAGATACCATTGCAGTCATATTTGGAAAAGATGACCTATCCTACACAGCATGTGGCAGAGGCAGGATTTTGATTATGAAATAAATAAATGAAAACCAGCTACTGCGAAGTCCACTCTGACTCACAGCAGCCCATGTGTGTCAGAGTAAAATTGCTCCACAGGGTTTTTAATAGGTGATTTTTCAGAAGTAGATAACTAGGCCTTCTTCTGAGGTTTCTCTGGGTGACAGGCACATCCAAACTTTTAGTTAGCAGCTGAATGTGTTAATCATTTACACCACCCAGGGACTCTGATGCAACTTTTTAGCTCAGTCCACAGGGACCATTCTCCTCTGTGCCCCTTTAGCTCTTAGTGTCAGTACATATAACTTGTGCCTTGGTCTCCTCAAACAGATTGACTGGGTTAAAGCAGCCAGCCTGCCTCTGCTGGCTGTGAGAGAGTGCCTCCAGGGTCTAATGGTCAGAGAGGCCATTTCCAAGGCCAGCTTGTGAACTTTTTTAAAGGGGACAGAGAAGGTCAGTCACACCCAGAAGAAGAAAGCAGGTGGCAGCCCCAGAGCACAGCGTGGCAAGCCTGCTGCACATCTCATTGTCATAAACAACTTGTCTGGTGTTTTTCCTCCTACCACCAGGTACTGGCCTGAGATGACTCAGCCTTTGACAGAAAAGGTGACTTCAAGTTGGGAAACAGCCAAGAATAGTGGAAAGCTTATGGTTCTAGAGTCAGACATTCCTGAGTTTAAGTCCTGGCTCTACTACTACCACTTATGTGGTCTAGGGCATGCTCTTTAACTTCTCTGTGTTAAAGGGAGACAAAAATGCCTTCCTCACTGGGTTGCTTTGAAGGTTAAAAATTATGTGTAACCAAAGCACCCAGCACAGTGCCAGACACATAGTAGGTGCTCCATAAATGCTGGTTTTCATGTTCTACACAATTTCCAATCCCAGCTTAGGGACTTCTTAAAGAAGGTGATGAGAAGTCACTTGACTATTACTCAAAGGCTAGTCCAACTCCATGGCCCTGGACATGGATGGAGTGGTGGCCCAGAAGCACTAGCCTAGGGCAGCAGCAAAGGAAAGCCTGCATGCAGCTACTGCCCACAGTCCTACAAATGGAATCAATTACATCTTTTCTTCCTGTTCTGCCGTGGCTTCTCTGCTGTAACTTTACTAAGCTTCCTCCCACTAAACCCTCCCCTCACATAGACTCTGGCACACTGCTTGCTTACAAGAATGTTTGTTAACTGGAGGCATGGATGTATGGATACATGGAGGATCTAATTATTTCTGCACTATTGCTTATTTTGAAGTTGTCAAGGACTTTGTATTACTTGGTTCTACAATCAACACTAATGGAAGCAGCAGTCTAGACATCAGATGATGTATTGCATTGGGAAAATCTGCTACAAAAGACCTCTTTCAAGTGATGAAGAGCAAAGATGTCTCCTTGAAGACTAAGGTGTGCTTAACCCAAGCCATGGTATTTTCAATCGCCTCTTATGCATGTGAGAGCTGGACAATGAATAAGGAAGACCAAAAAAGTTGTTGATGCCTTTGAATTGTGGTGTTGGAGAAGAAGTACCATAGTCTGCTAAAAGGACTAACAAATCTGTCCTGGAAGCAGTGCAGCCAGAATGCTCCTTGGAAGTGAGAATGGCCAGACTTCGTCTCACCTACTTTGGTCATATTGTCAGGAGGAACCATTCCCTGGAAAAGGATGTCATGCTTGGTAAGGTGGAGGGTCAATGAAGAAGCGGAAGGCCCTCAACAAGATGGATTGACACAGTGGCTGCAATGATGGGCTCAGGTATAGTAAGGATCGTGAGGCTGGCACAGGACCGGGCAGTATTTCGTTCTGGTGTGCATAGTGTTGTTATGAGTCAGAGACAACTGGACGACACCTAACACAACAAAAATGTTGCTTATTTTATGTCCCCTCCCTGAAATGTTCTCTCCAATTGCCCTATCTTTATAGTCTAACTTAGAACTCTTACCCTCATCCAGAGAGCACCCTTGGGGCAACTGCAGGTTCCTGTTTTTCCACATGTCACCTGCACGGTGGTCTACATGCTCCTGAGTCAGATTGTGAGTCTTGTATCCCTCAGTTGTCTGCAGGTATAAGATCAGAAGGATACAGAGGAGAATATCAAATGTTGCATGCACTGGAGGTGCTCATGTAGTTAAGTATATAGAGCTAGGGTTTGTTGTTATTGTTGCTCCTGTGCCTATAGTGACCCTATATGACACAGCAGAGCTGCCTCCTAGGATTTTCTATGTTGCAATCTTTATGGGAGCAGATTGCTAGGTCTTTTATTCTGCAGAGCCTCTGGGTGAGTTTGAACCAGCAAACTTTCACTTAGCAGCTGGATGCTTACCCATTGCACCACCAAGATTCTGTATTTTCAAATCCCAGCTCCTTAACTTTTAGATTCCCAGTCTTTGAGGAAATCACTTACCCTCTCTGTATGGTGAGCTTAATAATATACCTACCTCATTGGATTATTGTGAGGATTAAATAAATCAATATATGTAAGGCACTTATATATTGAATACATTTGACTGAAGACGAGGCAAGTTGTGGAATGGCATCAAGGACATCAGACATGAAAAAAGCAAAAGGTCATTAAAAAGACAGGAAAGAAAGAAAAGACCAAATTGAATGTCACAAGAGACTCTGAAACTTGCTCTTGAACATAGAGTAGTTAAAGATAATGGAAGAAATGATGAAGTAAAAGAGCTGAACTGAAGATTTCAAAGAGCAGTTCAAGAAGGCAGAGTACTATAAGGGAATGTGCAGAGAACTGGACTTTTAAAACCAAAAGAGATGAACACATTCAGCATTTCTTAATATGAAAGAACTGAAGAAAAACTCAATCCTTGAGTTACCACATTTATATTCTATGGTCAAAATATTGAATGACCCAGGAGGCATCAAGAGAAGATGGAAGAAATACACATAGCCACTGTGCCAAAAAGAATTGTTTGGCATTCAACCATTTCAGGAGATAGCATATGATCAAGAACTGATAATATTGAAGAAAGAAGTCCAAGCTGCACTAAGGCATTGCTGAAAAACAAGGCTCCAGGAATTGATGGAATACCCATTGAGATGTTTCAACAAACAGATGCAACACTATGCCAAGAAATTTGAAAGACAGCTACTTGGCCAACTGACTGGAAGAGAACCATAATTGTGCCCATTCCAAAGAAAGGTGATCCAACATGATGCAAAAATTATTGAACCATTCACATGCAAGTAAAATTTTGGTGAAAATGGAGGCCCATTAAGACAGGATGACAGTAATCTAGGGGAAAGATTATGCTGAATCTAATCTAAAGGGATGGCAAAGGAATGGAGAGAAGTGGGCAAACTCAAGTAACAGTTGGGAAGTCTCATGGAAAAGTTGATGGGAACTTGAATGTTCAGAACGAAGAGTGAGGGAGGAGGAAGGGGTTAAGGTGAGTAAGACATAGTTCCAATGTTATGAGATAAGTGATAAGTTCTTTCAATCAAGTCAGTTCAGAACCCATAGAGGTACTGACCAAGGGAACCACCTATCACAGGCTGGGGGAGAGAGGAGAGGAGTATGATGGTAGGCTTTACTAAAGAAATGTAGGAAAAGAGGGAGGCATTTCAGGCAGAGGAAAGAGCACATGCAAAGGCCCAAAGATGTGAGATAGAATGCATAGAGTAGATACTCTGTGTTGTTGAATAGATGATTATTTTATTAATTCATACTAAGGTGTTAATGTACAGTATGGAATTGGCTCTTTACCCATTCCAATGAACTATAAATCCTTAGTCAGCCCAGTGCAACACCAAAGGAAGGCCTGCCCCAACTACTCAACAACCCTAAGGATTCATTATTGGAAGAATTTCACAGTGGAAAGAGGACACTATGTAAGGACAGAGGGTTTTCCTATTGTCCCTGAGGTGTCCAAAGTAGATGAATGAACCCTGAGGGTCAGGCAGATCTGGTTTCTATATAACAAATGGTCTCCTACCCTTGGATCTTGCATGTCTGACTCCAAGCTTAGCCACCAGAGGTAAGCCACAGAAGCCTAGTGATTTTGAAAGGGACACAGTGTATCCATAGACACAGTGTTTGAACACAGGCTTTGGGGTATGACTACCTAGTTCCAGAGCCTGATTCTTCCTTTTTCTAGCTTTGTGACCTAGGGCCAAGTTACTTCTGTGCATCTCAGTTTCCTCATCTATAAAAGAGGATAATAGTACCTGCCATTTAAGGTTTTATGAATATCAAAAAGGACTGTACATCCAAAAACTTATAACAGTGAGTGGTACTGCTATTTTTATTACTAGTCCTCTTTTCATTCTGTGTCAGTATGTTTTCAAAGTTTATCCTTAATGCACGTACCTGCAGATATGAAGCTGGGACGGAATGTGGCAAGAACATTTTTGGATTATTATCGGCTGAACCCTGTGGTTGAGAAAGTAGCGATTCCCATGCCGAGGCTGCGGTAAGTAACAGAGCAGAACAGTCTGAGCTTGAGTCCTACTTACCTGCTCTATGTGCAGTGATTACTTCCTGTCTCTGGCTCTGAATTCCCCATCTGTATCATGGGAAAGAACCCCAGCCCTGCCTCATAGATTGTATGGATCAGAAGAGCTCAACAGTGTACTCTCTGATACAATATTCTATGGTCATCAGGTCAGACAATGAATGATGGTCAAACTTCTGAGTCTAACATAAGGATTTACATGGGTAGAGGATTGCTAAGGAACTGAGCTCAGTCATTGTTCTAAGCTAGTCTCAGTATTTTCATATGCTTCTTCACTTGATAGTTCCTCCTCCAGGGTTTCTATATTACTTATGCTCATAACTCTCTGAGCTTTCAGTTTCTTCACCTGTAAAGTGAGGACAATGGATCTCACTTGTAAGATTACTGTGAGATGCATGTTAAAACACCTAGCACAATGCTGGACATACATATATTCTCCTCAGTACATGATCATCCCTTTCTGCCAAGATGTGAAGGTTCTGGACTACAGAAGACATGCCACTGAGAAATTCCACTTTGGGGACCTGAGCCTTTCCCTACTGGGGCTAGCTTCTTGCTGGACCAGTGAGGTGAGAAGGTCAGGAGTTGAGTATCCATCCTGTTTGATGGCTAGGCCAGAGCCCAAAGCAGTGTGCATTCCCATGAATGCACATTCCCAGTAAGCATTTGGGCGGTGACACCCAAGGACATTTGAAAGCACTGGCCCTGCCCTACTGCTTGGCCTCATGTCCTACTCCCCCAGTGGTTCAGCCTCCTTGAAGGACATGTTGGTGTTCAACTTCCTGCCCCATCAGTCCGTTCTTCCTATGGACCTTGCCTGTGACCTTGCTCATGTGCTTTGCTGCTTCTGGGCCTTTACAGTGCTGTCACTTCCTCACTACCCTGTTATTAACAACAACAATATTAATATTAATTAAAATGTGAAGCACTTTGCTTTATGATCTTTTTAATTCCTCACAACAACTCTGTGAGGTGGGTATTATATTCTCCATCTTAGAAATGAGAAAATGGAGGCTCAGAAAGGTTAAGAGAATTGCTTAGGCCAAAGAATTTGGGGCAGAGCCAGGATTTCATTCCTAAGCCCAGAACACTGAAGTCTAGCTAAATTCCAATATGGGTTCAAGTTCTGTCAGAGATCATACTAGCTGTGGGATGTGATGCAAGCTTCTTGGCCTCTTGAAACCTTACTCTACCTATTTATAAAAGTGGAGACAATGATAACACCAACCTCTAAAGACAGTTTTGAAGATTGGATACAAACTTATTTAGTATGGTGCCTGGTGGCTAGTAGATGCTCAATAAATGTTTCCATCTCTACTGGCTTCTGGGTTACAGTCCCAGATTTCCATCTAGCTCATCCTGGCCGACAACAAGTCCCTAACTTCTCTTGTTGGGCTAGATGATCTCTCAGAGCCCACATTCCATAATGTTGTGAGTCACACCGTCTCTGCACCCAGCTCCACATAGAGTCTGTATGACAATGTACCATTGACTCATACCTTATCTGAGATTGTACATGAATCAGCTAAAGCCTTTGTGCCACCCATCCTTGTAGATTAGAAATTCTTCAGGAAGATCATGTCTCTTTCTTATCTGTGCCTCTGCAGTGCCTACACCATCTTGAGAATGCATGCATGTATGCATTCATTCATTCACTCAATCACTTAGGAAAAACAACATTCTTTGCCAGGCCCCTGGGGAAGAGGCTGCAGAAATGAGTAGATGATTAAGGCATGACCTCTGCCTTTGAGGAGCTCCTCTCTAATGAAAAGGTTTCAGTTAATTCTTAGAAGTCATTCTTGATTGGTTAAAGTTCTTAAAATTGTAAAGCTTTATAAAACTCAAAAGAATTCCTGAATCTCATTTACAAGTTAATTTGGAGGATTGTCTCTTTGAGGTCCTCTGTCAGCCTGAATAAATTTATCTTGATCCTTAACCACTTTTTTCTTGCATGTTGCAATGTCAGACTGATGAAATGATACTGACACTTAGGGAGACTTCAGTAATCGTCTAATCCCTCTCCACATGCTGGACCAGATCAGGAAATCGAGGTGCATCAGGCAGAAGGAGCTGGTCAGGGTCAGGTGGTCAGTGTCCAGATCTTGACACCCTCCTGGGTTCTCAACATTACTCAATGGAGATATCTTTGGGTGGTGGACAAGAGGGTGTTGAAGCTGGATCTAAAGAAGACGGGAGATTTCTCAGGGCCATGATTTCAACTGTGTATGGGACCTCCTTGCCTGAGCTTTATCTTTCAGAAAAGATCTGAAGAGCTCATTCCCCATAAGCTCAAAACCTTGATGATTTAAATGAAAAAAAAAAAAAGCAGTTGCCATGGAGTTGATTCAGTTTCATAGGGACCTGTGTGTTCAGAATAGAACTACTCCATAGAATTTTCAAGGTTGTTACCTTTTGGAAACAGATCACCAGGCCTTTCTTATGAGGCACTTCTGGGTGGTTTTAAACCACCAACTTTTTAGCTAGTAGTTAAGTGCTCTTTGTGCCACCCAGAAACTGCTGCACCCACCCTTAAATTAAAAAAACAAAATTTAACTCCTCCTGCATTCCCACACCTCTGTCTCATCAAGCTATTAACATCACTTAACTCTAAAATGGCCAGCAATCCTTTAGAAATGAATTCCCAGGATGATAAAAGGCTCTGATTTGGGGATTTGAATACTACCCTTTTTTTGGTATTATTTTCCACCCAAGCATCAAATAGCATAAGTGAAAGAGCAGTTCTGGCTTTAAAGGAAAATTACATGTTTTGACTCAAAATTAATCTTTGTTTTCTCCCATCTCTATGGATAATTACAATGTATGTCAATTTCCACCCACATGCTAGTGGAAGCCTGTCAGCATCCCTGGGTGCTGGGCTGCCCTTCAGAGAATGTCCTTAGGGAGGGGCAGCAATGTGGGCAAGACAGTGCAGGCTCAGGGACATGCCTTCATGACCAAAGCTCTAAGACCTTTGCATTATTTGTACCACAGTGACACAGTTTCAGGGGCTAAAGCCCATAATACCCCATCAAAAGGGATAAAAATGAGACAGGAACAATGAGCAGCAGGCCAGGTAAGCCTCTGTGAGGAGGCAAAGCATGAGTTGGAGGGTAGGCTGACCTCTGAGTGTGAGGCAGCCTCAGTGAGGTGTTGGAAGGGCTGGTGTGTGTGTGTGTGTGTGTGTGTGTGGTGATTGACAGCTATTCAATCCACATGTACCAGTGCCTACCATGTGCCTGGCTCTGTATTGAGTGCTGGAGGGTCATAGAGAGGTTCTGCCCATCAAGAACCCCATTTAATGGAGAGGAAAAGTATGTACACATGCAAAGATAATAATGTCAAGCACTGTATGATAAGTGATCAACTACACATCAGATTTTGCATTCTCTCAAAAAAAAACCATCCCCATTGCCTTCAGGGTAACATTGCAACTCCTCTTCTTGCTATTCAAGACCCTGGCCTACATTTTTAACTTCATTTACCCCCTCCTCCCACACTCCCTTCTTAGTATGAGCATCCCTTCCACCCCCACCTGCTTTCTACCACTGCATGCCCTATGCTTCAGCCTGAACAAGTTAGCCATTTTCATGCTTCCATATCTTTGTTCAACCTTTTCTCTCTTTCTGGAATGTGTTTCATTTCTGCTTCTTGCAATATCACAACTTCTGTTTCACCATTCCTTTTCTCTGCCCAAGGCAGAGATGTACTCCTCTGTGCTGGATTCCTAACTGCAATTTGTACATACCTCTGGCATGGCGTGTGTCATGGTGGGTTGTCATGGTATCTTTACATGTCTGGATTTTCCATTAGACAGATTGCTCTTTGAGGAGCTGTGTCATATTCACTTCTGTATCCTCATTGTATGGTGTGTGGCCTAGCACACAGTAGGTGCTAAATAACCCCTGAATGTAAATGAATTGTAAAATAACAGAACTGATGAAATCCATAGAAATCATCTACTTCAACTCCTTCATACTAAAGAAAAGTGAAACCCAACAAGAAGTTATTCTCCCATATGTGTCTGGCAAGCATTTGGCAGCAGGCAGGAGCATCCCAAGACTTAAGGGAAGAAATGGGTTTGAACTTGGCTTTGAAGGACATGTTGAATCAGATGAATGAAATAGAAAAGGGGGAGAAGGTATTCCATGTTGAGGATAAAGTGTGCAAATGCAGGAAGCATGATCTAAAAAGACACATTCTAAGACAATGCCAAGGCTAGGATGCTTAGAGTTAAGGTAAATATAAGATTAAAAGTTACTTTCTATTCATTATTTCACTCCTAAAGCATGTACTCCATGCCAGGCCTGTGCTTAGCTCAGGAGTTGTAGAGAAAAATCAAATACTTCAAAGTCACTCTTTCATGAGGGAAAGAGATGGGCAAAGCACTACCTAGAAAATGGTGTGCTGAGCGGGGATATACAATGTCCTGCAGAAACCCGGAGAAGGGAGAGAATAGTTTTCTGGGAAGTTGGCTTTCCAAAGGAAGTGAATCTAGAGAAGGAGGAAGAGGACACTATAGGCAGAGGGGACAGCCTCTGCAGAGGCCCAGAGGTATGGAGTGTTTGCCTTCCAGTGGCTTCTCTCCCTCAGTTCTCCATCTTTAGTTACAGAGGCTCCTTGACTTCCTAACCCCACCAGTCAATTCAGCATATCGCACTCTTCTCTAGCCACTGCACTTCTTCCCTTTATGTCACCATCTACCTAAGGCTACCCACCTGTAGCTATACCTGTTGTTGTTGTTGTTATATGCCGTTGAGTCAGACCCGACTCACAGCGACCCCTCCTTGGGTTTCCGAGGCAGTATCACTACAGAAGTAGATTGCCCCATCTTCCTTCCGAGGTTTGAACCACCAGCCTTCTGGTTAGCAGTCAAGTGCCTTAGGCACTATGCTACCAGAGCTCCTGTAGCTATACCTAGGCTTACCTTTATAGAGCAAACATTCCCTCTCTTGCTGCTATCAAAAACATACCTATCTTTTGCGCCAGGCTCCCTTTGGGTATTAAGAACCATATCTCTCAATGACATATGAGTGGTACCTTGTAATATACAAAGCTCTTCTCCAATCTCCATTTCACAAGAGCCTATGAGGCAGGAAGGACATGGATTCTTGTCCTCATTTTAAAGATGAAGGAACAGGTTCAGAAAGAAAGGAACTTGTTCAAAATCACATCACCTATAAATGACACTCCAGGTCTGTGCTCCCAGCTGTTAAAGGACATTGAGATCTAGATGTATCTCACCCATGTTGAACAGCCTCACCATGTTCACAAAGGTCTTCAGTGAGTGTGCCATGTTAGGCACGATGCTTCCTGGTGGGGAGATATGTTAGGGTAAGGTGTTCCTTTTGTATGCTGCCACCTATTTCACCTTTACATTATTCATGATTCCTTAACAGTAAAAGAAAATGAATACTACAAGGTCAGAGCATAATGAGTCACAGAAGTCAATTCTTCAACCCTAATTCAAATTCAGTCTAATTCAGACTCAGCCCATAGTTAGGACATTTACTACTTTCTGCCATATGTTTTAATTATTCTTATTTTGTATGTTTGTTTTGTTCAACTATCTCCTCCACTAAACTGTAAGTAACCTGAGGATAACATGAATGTCTTACTCATCTTTATCACCTCCAGAGCCCATCATACTTAGAACATAGTAGGGAAGGGAAGGCAGTAGGTGCTTTTACTCATGTTATTTAACCTCACAACACCCCTGCCAGGTAGGAATGTTTTAACCTCATTTTACAAATGAGGCTCAGAGAAGGTAAGTCGCACCTCTAGTACATAGCAGACCTGGGAATTCAGTTCAGTTCTTTCTGACCCCAAAGCCCGCTCTTTCTCCTGCAAATAAATCTTAGTCCGATGAATTAATGAATGAATTACACATCAGTTTATCAGTAACCAATATAACAAATATTATTTGAGTATGTCTTTGGTAGAAGGCCCTGAATGAAGAAGAATGCAATGATGAATAAAAACATGGTCCCTGCTCAGAAGGAGCTCATAATCTAGTGTGCAAGGAAAACAGACAAGTGGGTAGTTACTGCAAAGAGACATTAAGCGTATTGCACTGGGTATTAGGTACTGGGTTCTGGGACACAAAGATGAACCATATATCTCTGTTCTCTAAGAGCCCCCAAGCTTGTGAGGAAGACAGATCTACCATGAAATACCCATAACTGGATTATTTTTAAAAAATAAAGGGAACTCTAGAGTTCATGATGGTTATATAAGAAATGAGGTCCCAGGCCCTGCTAAGCCACAGCACTTCTATGTGCTCATCTCCACCCAACTGTGGCCTTGGTTGAATGAGTTGGAATCAGGATGGAAAGGTGGAAGACTTGGAGCTGAAGGACAGTTCCATTTTCTCCAGAACTAGAATGACACAACCTATCTATTCATCCAGTAGGCATTTGTGGTACCTGTTCTGAATCAGGGCCAGGGCTGGGTCCTGGGGACACAGAGAAGAGGAAGACCACTGCTCCTAGGAGATCACAGTCCAGTGGGGGAGACAGACATGCACACAAATGATTATAACACAGTGTGTATATATGCTATCCTTCTTTCTCTCTCTTTCTGCTTATCTTCTCCTTTGCAGGAAAGAAAAAGCCCCTCCCTACAAGTACCCACTCCTGAGGGGCCCGGCCAGCAACTACCCCAATGGCAAAAGGGACAAGAAGAGCTCAGTGAACCACAAAGACCCTTCAAACTCTTTTTAAAGACATGGAGTCCGGGGAGGTCTTGTGGGTGCAGGAGTGTGCACTTTCTGCTAGGACATAAATTAATCACCCTTTTCTAGTCTCCCAGATAAAGATTTGTGGGATAATAAATAGGCTAGTGAAAGAGGAGAAAAATGAGAAATTTCATCATTGATTTCCCCTTTTACCAATGGAAAATCAATTGTGAGACTTCAGCTCAAAGCTCAGGAACAAAATAGGAGACTCTAACCAGGTGAGTACAGATGCTATCTTCCACAAAACAGAGTCTCTCTCAGAAAGAGGAAAACTCACACATCCCTTTGTAAGATGTTTGACACATCTCAGGTCAGTCCTTTTGAAGCCATTTTACATTTTTAAGTTGTATATTTCCTATAAATGGCTACCTTTTAGAATAGGCTACAGTTGTTTGCTCTTTTAAAGATTCAATATTCATATTTTCTGATCTAAAACAAAAGAAACTACATGTACTGGGAACAATGGGACAGAATTTTTGAATTCAGGGCAATCTTAGACATACAGTCACTAGATCTATAAGCTGTTGCTTCCTGGCTCCCCTAACCTCAGCATGCAACTTCAGAAAACCATTTTTGAGAACTATTTGCCAATTACCTGGGTAACTTAATTGTTACCTGGGTTGTTTCACTATAACTTTAGCACCAAAGGCAAAAAAAGGTTGGTCACTTATTCTGAAAGTTCACTTATGGTTAAGATCTCCAGATCTGCCTGGGAACAAGCTTTTCCATTTAAGAGACAGACATTGATAATCTGCAAGAAAAGAACAGAAAAAAGGGTCAGCTTGAGAGAAGGGTGATTGCCAGGTAAGAAGATGCAAAAGATAAAAGGATGCTCCCTGAGGCAGATAGGAATGATAAAATAAAACAGCCAAGCAACTGCCAAGGCAGTGCAAGCTAAACATTGTTCATTTTTTCTGAAGAGTAAAGTGCCTTTGCATGATGAATGGGTCCAGGGGAGTCTGCTCCCTTCCTGTCTATAGAAGCAGCAGGCTGAGTCACCATGACAGCCTGCTAATTAAAATGACCTCCTGGAAATGAGGATTAGGAAATAGGGAGAGGAATGGAGGCTCAAGGGAGATGAGGCCTTTAGCACAAAGCTTCAGTTAAGCATTCTTTTGGTTTAGGTTGAATATTTTTGAAGTTTGTTGCAGAAATCAAAAACAAAGCTTGTTCTCTCTTTGCATATTGGTTTTCAGAAATGATAACAAAGAATTGTATGTTAGCTGGCTACAAATATTGGGTTGTATATCCAGTTCTTCCCCTGGGTTCTTGTTGCCCCAATAAAATGGTTTGTGCAGCTGCTCTGTTCCTCTGGGTATTCTTGGCACCTCTCCCCTCTAGGTCTCCCAGTCCCTCAAGGAACCAACCAGCCAATTCAAATTTGGCATAAACTATACTTTGATATCAGGGACTTTGTCTTCAAGATAAAGAGGAATGGTTAATATTTGACTTCCCAACAATTCATGTGTCAGAGTCCTGGGGAGGTTAGTTGACTGCAACCAGCTCAATGTGAGCCAGCAGTGTGGCAGACTTCTCAAAAATGAGAGCATCACTTCAGGTGGCATGAACAGAGGCAGGTGGCATAAAATAAGGGAACTGATAGCCCATATCTGTTTTTCACTGGTCAGACCACTTCCATAGTGTTGTGAACATATCTGGGCCCCATAGTTTAAAAACAGAATTGACTAATTGGATTAATACCCACACAGACAACAAGTAGGCTAATAGTTTAAGAGCAAATACTTGGAGCCAGGAATCTCTAGATTCTAATTCTATATTCCAGCACTGATTCTATCTCTCAGTATCTTTGTGATGTTGGGCAAATTGCTTAACTCATTTGAATCTTAGTTTCCTCACCCACTGTTGTTAGGTGCCAGAGAGTCAGTTCCAACTCATTGTGACCCTATGTACAACAGAATGAAACATTGCCTGGTCCTGTGCCATCCTCACAGTTGTCGCTGTGCATGAGCCCATCATTGCACCAACTGTGTCAATCCATCTTGTTGAGTTTTTTTCCCCTTTTTTGTTGACCTTCTACTTTACCAAGCATGATATCCTTCTCCAGAGACTGATCCCTTCTGACAACATCATCAAAGTATGAGAGATGAAGTTTGGCCATTCTCAGTTCTAAGGAGCATTCTAGCTATACTTCCTCCAAGACAGATCTGTTCATTCTTCTAGCACTCCATGGTATGTTCGGTATACTTCACCAAAACCACAACCCTAATGAGTCAATTACTGTGTGGTCTTCATTATTAGTTATCAAGTTCTCACATGCATATGAGGTAACTGCATATACTATGGCTTGGGTCAGGTGCACCTTAGTCTTCAAAGTGACATCTTTGCTTTTCAATACTTTAAAGAGGCCTTTTGCAGCAGATTTCCCAATGCAACATATTGTTTAATCATGGCTGCTGCTCTCATGGCTGCTGATTATGGATCCAAGTGAAATGAAATCCCTGACAACTTCAATCTTTTCTCTGTTTATCATGATGTTGCTTATTGGTCCACTGGTGAGGATTTTTGTTTTCTTTAATTTGAGGTGTAATCCATACTGAAGGCTGTAGTCTTCATCACTAAGTACTCCAAGTCTTCTTCACTTTCAGCAAGGAAAGTTGCATTGTCTGCATATCACAGGTTGTTAATGAGTCTTCCTCCAGTCCTGATGCTATGTTCTTCTTCATACAGTCCACTTTCTTGAATTATTTGCTCAGCATATAGACTGAATGAATATGATGAAATGATACAACCCTGACACACACCCTTCCTGATATTAAACCACACAGTATCCTCTTGTTCTCAATGACTGCCTCTTGGTCTATGTACATGTTCCTCATGAGCACAATTAAGTGTTCTGAAATTCCCATTCTTCAAAATATTATCCATAATATGTTATAATCTACACAACCAAATGTCTTTGCATAGTCAATAAAATACAAGTGCATATATTTTTGGTATTCTTTGCTTTCAGCCAAGACATATCTGACATCAGTAATGATATCTCTCATTCTATATCATCTTCTAACTCCTGCTCAAATACTGCTGCAACCATTTTTTAATTTAGCAAAATTTTACTTGCATGTGATATTAATGCTATTGTCCAACAATTTCTGCATTCTATTGGATCATCTTTCTTTGGAATGAACACAAATATGAATCTCTTCTAGTCAGTTGACCAGTAGGTACCTGTCTTGCAAATTTCTTGGCATAAATGAGTGAGCACCTACAGTGCTGCATCTGTTTTTTGAAACATGTCAGTGAGTATTCCATCAATTGCCACAGCCTTGTTTTTCACCAATTCCTTCAGTGCAGCTTCAACTTCTTCCTTTAATACTATCAATTTTTGATCATATGCTACTTCTTGGAATAGTTGAATGTCAACCAGAGCTTTTTGGTACAATCACTCTGTGTATCCCTTCAATCTTTTGATGCTTCCTGCATCATTCAATATTTTGCCTCACCTGTAAAATGGTAATAATAATGTAAGGGTAACTCACTACAGTAGTTATGAAGATTTAATTAATGTAGGTATAGGAATGTACCTCAGCAGAGGCTTTCAATATTTGGCTGCTAACCAGAAGGTCAGCAGTTCAAAACCCACCAGCTGCTCCATGGGAGGAAGATAAAGTAATCTACTTCTGTAGAGATTTACAGCCTTGGAAACCCATTGTGGGGTCACTATGTGTTGGAATTGACTCAATGACAGTTTGGGATTTTTTTGGTTTGATCGTTTGGAAGGTGACTGGTATGACCTCATCATACCAGTCTAAATCATTTCCCATTAGAAATGTATAAGGAGACTAGATCTGCTTATAACGATGGCAAACCAAAGGGAGTGTGATAGGAAAGCAAAATCATTTCTCCAAAAAGTTGAGGGAACATTATGAGACACAAGAAGCCCACTCGTTTTGTGTTGCTTAAATGTAAAAAAAAAAAAAAAAAAAGTAAGATGGATTTCAGCTTGGGATGAGGAAACCTTCTAATTATTAGAATTGCCAACCATTGGATAGGGACTGTGAGCTCCGCATCACCAGAGGTTTGCAAGCAAGAGCTTAATGAACATTTGTCAGGAGGAGAAGAGGGAAAGAGTTTTCAGCACTGAGATGGAGGACAGCTCCAAGCCAGCAGGTGAAACAGCTGGAGCCTACTGGATTGATTAGCCCCAGCAGGAGGTTCACCAGCCTCTCCTCTTGCCTATCCACTTCTTTCTCAGGATAGAGCAAAAAACAAACAAAATACTCCTGTTGAGTCAGTTTTTATTCATGGCAACCTTATGTGTTACAGAGTAGAACTGCTCTATAAAGTTTTCTTGGCTGCAGTCTTTATGAAAGCAGACCACCAGTCTTTCTTCTGCAGTGCCTCTGAGTGGGTTTAAACCATCAGCCTTTAAGATAGTAGTCAAGAGCAATCGTTTGAGCCACCTAGGTAGAACTGTCTACCAAGTCAGAGTTCTTTGTATGTCTGAAAAAAAAGGAGAGGGAGACAGACATGCTGGGTCTTTACCTGGCTCTCTCTCAACTCTCCATAGCCAGTGCCAGTTTTGCTCCACATCAGTCCAGATGGTCGGACATAGGACTAGAGGTCTTTTTACCTACAAAAATTCAGAAGACCTCAAAAGCTCTGGTAGGCAAGCAGGAGGACACCCAGCTTCATTGCTAGTAAAGCCCACAGCAGAGGAGGCTGGGTTACCTGCTCTGAAGATCAAGTTTGCATTGCCTTTTAAATGCAGCAACAGCTGTGGATCCTTGGTTGGGAGCTTTCCCTGTTGTCTGTTTGAATTGGAGGAGGCACAAGAGAGCTTACATCCTTTGCTATAAATTAACTGACAAACCTGAGACCTGCCTTAGAGTCTCTCAATTCATTTTTCTAAATAGTAAGAGTAGACCCAATCATAGAAGTGTGGGTGATCAACAGTTCTTGAGCATCAATTAATATAAACCAAACAAAACAAAACCCACTGCCACAGAGTCATATCTGACTCAAAGCAACCCCTCCTTGGATTTCTGAGGCATTATCACTATGGATGTAGTTTGCCCAATCTTCCTTTTGAGGAGTGGCTGGTGGGTTTAAACTGCCAGACTTCTGGTTAGCAGTCAAATGCCTTAGGCACTAGGGAACCAAAGCTCCTATTTACCCAATATTTAGGAGCTGTGGTAGCATAGTGCCTGAGGCACTTGACTGCTAACCAGAAGGCTGGCAGTTCAAACCCACTAGCCACTCCTTGGAAGGAAGGTTAGACAATGTACTTCCATAGTGATACTGCCTCGGAAACCCAAGAAGGGGTCGCTATGAGTTAGGTCTGACTCAATGGCATGTAACAACAACAACAACCACCCAATATTTTTTTAACATATATTGCCCCAAGCACTGTGCTTAAAGGCTTTCACGTTCATTGTCTTATTTGATGTTCCCAACATCCCAACAACCAT